AAGGAGGAAAGAAGGGGCACAACACTCCAGCCCATAACTATGTCTCCTCCAAGATTACACCTGTCATTTCTGTGGGAAAATCTGCAGGGCATGAAGTGGGCTCCTCAGCCACCTAAAACCTCACCAATGAACCCCCTTGGCAGACATCATCCTCACATCGAGGGATGGGGGGCTGCCAGCCGAGGACAAAGCAGGCGGCCAAACGACGCTATAGCGGAGCATTGTACAACTTTAAATGAGCATGTTCTGTAATGGAGCAAGGACGTAACATTGAAACAACATTAAGCGAGAAGACGTTAAGTGGGGAGTTACTGTACTTAGTCTGCAGAAGAGAAGAATGAGGTGGGATTTGATAGCTGCTTTCAACTACCTGAAAGGGGGTTCCAAAGGTGATGGATCTAGACTGTTCTCAGTGGTAGCAGATGAGAGAACGAGGAGTAATGGTCTCAAGTTGCAGTGGGGGAGGTTTAGGTTGGATATTAGGACAAACATTTTCACTTGGGGGGTGGTGAAGCACTGGAATGCGTTATCTAGGGAGGTGGTGGAATCTCCCTCCTTAGAAGTTTTTAAGGGCAGGGTTTACAAAGCCCTGGCTGGGATGATTTATTTGGGGATTGGTCCTGCTTTGAGCAGGGGGTTGGACTAGATGACCTCCTGAGGTTCCTTCCAACCCTGATATTCTATGATAGTTGAAGACTGCTATGCATGTAGGGGTGGGCCCATGGCACTGGTCACCGTTATGGTGTGCTGGTGTAACACTGACAGACCCCGGTCATCGATGGGCAGGATAGAACCTGGGACCCCTGAAATTTAGTGCATGAGCCTCTACTGCACTGACTAAAAGCCACAAGGCTCTTAGTCAAGGCTGTAGCAGACTTATCAATCTCTAGGTGATCCAGGTGCCACTAGACGTGGACAGAGCACCACACCCATCAAGCATGGGTTGCACTAGGGGCTCCAGATTGCATGAAAAATGGGTGAATCCTGGTACAATACCTTCACTTCACCATGGATAGCATTTTCTGGACCAAGGACAAAACATATCCCTCCTTTGGATGTTCTTTAGATTTGAACCTAAGTCTTGTAGTGACTGGTGTCTTGAAAACACCTAGATAAATACAGAGAGCCTGACTCTCAGCTGCTGTGATTGGAATCAGTATGTTGGGAAGGGATCCAGTTTGGGGGATCAGGGTTTGCGAACTCCAACTGGTCATATTTGTTGTTTAGGCAGAGGAAGGGCAGTTGTGTTTGGCTGGGTCCTGTTATTTGGCTGAGCAAAGACTGAATACATATTGAGCAATGGCTCCTTGTATCTATGGAGGTAGCAAAATTCTTCTAGGTCCGATAGCATAGAACACAAAAGCAAAGACATTGCAGTTACAGCAACTCTGCCAAAGACATGAGAGATCTCACGCCCATCCCTCCCGCTTTCCATCCATCTTATATACTCTGCTGCCACTTAGTGGCTTTGTATTGTCTTGGAAAGGAGAAGCAGGATGAGTTGGGGACAAGGAAAGATACCAAATTGCTGTCATCCTATAGAGACTCACTCTATCCTACATGGCAGCTGCCATTCCTGCAAAATGCATTAGAAACCTGGGGCCAGATCCTTGGCTGGTGGTAATCAGTTTAGATTAATTAAGTTCAATGGCTGTGCCAGTTTACACCAGTTGAAGATCTACTGTCTGGCCTCCATCACATCACCAGGACAATTAATGAGGCATTTATGGCCATGTTCCGTTAGATAGATAGATAGATAGATAGATAGATAGATAGATAGATAGATAGATAGATAGATAGATAGATAGTTTCCATGTAGAGGTACATGGGTGTAGACTAATAAAATAGGAAAGAAAAGAGAACTGGGAACTATGGGGAAAATAGTCTTAAAAGTGCAGTTTGTTTAAATGACAGCAGTGGATGAGTCCTATGAAAAGAGTACTGTAATTCATGTGAAAGGTGTGGTGATACTGTATAATGAGATAAGATAGCTTCCCAGGCAAAAAAAGGATAGGAAAGGATCAGCTAATGGGCACTAGGGGAAGAAGATGATGTGGTGTGGAGAAGGAGCAGCTATACTGCGTAACGACCAAGGGCCAGATTTTGAAATCAATGGGAGTTTGTCACCTGAGGACAAATTTTAAAGGTACTTAGGCACCTTATGGAACTTTCTAAAGTATCTAGGCACCTAACTCCCATTATTTCAATTGGCATTGGCTCCTGGGTGCTTTTGGAAATCAAAACAGGTGCTTAAAACCCTTTAAAAAGTCTGTCCTTGACTGCCTATCTGTTCAACTATGTGGAAAGATAGAGTGTGGGATTTTCAAAGCTATTTAGGACAGTTGGAGGTCGATTTCCTATGAATTCTATTTCATTTGTCAGGGTAGGAAGTTAGTAAAAATCCCATCAGGGAGCAAAATTAAAATAGTCCAATTGACTCTGATCTCAACAGGGCAAACACATTAATAGATCCCTCTGAAATTATAATCCACAAAACTATAAAAAGGCATTATACGAGTGGGTGAGTGGGAAGTGAGAGGAGTTTGGGAGACACTGAGAAATAGCTTGCGCCTTTCTGGTCTCAAACCAAAGAAGAATGAATGGTATTAATGATCTTCTCTCGTTACTGATGGGACAATGTCCTAACAAACCCAACAGATATCAGAGTGCACAGCCACTCAAAAGATATGTATTTTAGACATGATAGCTAGATAGCTAGATGGCTAGATAGATAGATAGATGCTAACAGAAGGTTTCATGTCAGAAGGAATATCATACAAACTTCTTCTTCTGGTAACATTTTAATTCTTTTTGTTAGTGTAAATTAATTGTGTTTCACCTGTTTCCAATCTGCACTCAAAAAGACAAGCAAGAGAAAATTAGGAATGGATTTATTGTATATCTAATGACAATGATTTAATGACACATGGTTCACAGTCACACAAAGGTGATTTCTCAAGACAAGAGTTCGTGTTCCTTTTAACAACAATTAACCTGGATCAACATGCACAGTTGTAAATGTCTAGACACTGTGATACAGGAGGGCCAGGGAGCACTGGAAGAGTGCTAAAGGGGAAATATATAAGCTCAAGGCTAATTAAGGCTTGGTTCCCTGTAGACTGGGGAAAGTGGCTGCAGATTAATTGGAGCACCTGCAGTCAATTAAGGTCCTGTTAGGAACCTAATAAAACCCCCTGTGTCAGGCAGACAGGGGAGAAGGAGGAAGGAGAAAGGTCTGGAGCTTAGAGGTGTGTTGAGAGATTTGAAAGACCTGAGAATTGGAGTAAGGGAGATCCTGCCCAGCAGGACAGGGAGACCCCCTTCCCCCCAGCGTCTAAGGACCCCCACCTCAGGGGGACAAGGGTAAGAAACTCACAGGGGTTGAGAGGAGCTGGGACTCAGAGTGAGGAACAAACCCAGACCCCTCCCCAGCTTCCCTCCTCTACCACCTTCCCGGGCTAGTAGCAGGGCCCTCGGCACCCAAGAGCAGGGGCAAAGGGTGGCATCTTAGCTCCCCGCCAAGAAAAACTCAGGACCGACCAGACTAAAATTGGCCATCTTGCCACAACACTCACAAACTTTTGGGCTAGGACAACATTGGTGCTCTTGAACAAACATTTGTGGGGTAGCTAGGCTGATTGGTGATCACTTGACTTGAGTTAAAAGATCCTACTCTCATTAATGTTGACTTCTGATTTATACCAGTGCAATAATCAACCCCATTGACTTCAATATACACCTGGGTGAGTGAGTTGATAATCAGGCCCATTGCATTTAACAGTTAGTCATGCTTTACACTGATATAAGTGAGATTAAAAAAAACAGGCACTAACATTTTCAAAGCTAAGAGGAGGGCAGGTTGAAAATTTTCCACCAAAACTGGCTTTCGATAGAAAGTTGAATTTTCAATTAAACTTTTTTTTATCCCACAAAAAATGTCCAATTTCAACTTCTTTGTCCAAAAAAACAAACCTGTGAAAGTGGAAAAGCTTGGATTTTTCAGCCATTTGTGGTCCAAAACTGAAGAAATCTCATTTGGAAGTGCCACCATCATGCCTCATGGGAGTTGCATTTCTGTGTCTTGTGTGCCCATTCTGCTTCATGTATGGCATTCCTCAAGTGTACACCAGCTCCTCAGCCAAGGAATCAGCAGCATAGCCGGGAAGTCAACAGAAATGTATGCCTTTCACTGTTCAGAAAGGATAGCCCACTACTCAATCATTGGATATATGTGTTCAATTCCTGGCTCTGCCAATATCCAAAATAATTCTCAGCAATTCCCCATCTACCTTTCTCTAACCTATTTACATCTGTACAAAACATTACAGGCCAGCCCACTATCTGGAGATGACATATCCTGGTTATGCCATCTGAGAAGCTAGCCTGATTGTTCTGATCTGATAGTGTTTTACAAAGGTGTAAACAATGACACAAGGTGTAAGACTGCTGATCTCTCTGCGCCTCAGTTCCTAATAGATGAATTTAAGATGACAATATTCCCTTACTTCAAGTTGGTGTTGTGAGGTTAAAAGAATTAGTGTTTGTGAAGCACTCGTTACACTGTTGGTTTCATGTAAATACCTAGATAGACAGAACCACTAAATCATATTGGCGTCACAAACAGTAAAGTACTTTTGAGCTTTCCAATGTGTTCATAAGATTATGGAAATGTTGGAATGAAAAGGTTTAAGAGCAGGTGAGATAGTAGAATAAATGTGGGGGCAGCTTTTATGGCTGGAGATTAAAAGTCCAGTTGGACAGACACTTCACAGGTGATTGGGGGTAGTATGTTGGGAAGAGAACTGAGTTTGGAGGGATCAAGGATTACCTGATTTCTGACTTGTGACGGTTGCTTTTAGTTCAGTTGGTAGAAATCTGTAATCTTGGAGCTAAAGGGCCAGGATTCTAATCCTACTCTCTGCAGTGTGCATGTGATTGTGTCTGTTTTCCATAGTACTTAATTTTTTTACAACACAACATTGTTTTTCTCTAGACAACCAATGGCAGGGCTAGAGAAGGTGAACCAAACCACTGTCACAGCATTTCTGCTGGTTGGATTTGAGACCCGTCCAAAGCTGCAGATAACACTCTTTGTGATGTTTTTCATTATCTACCTGGCAACCATTGCTAGGAACATCCTCCTCGTTCTCATAGTTTGGACTGACCATTATCTCCACACTCCCATGTACTTCGTCCTCAGCAACTTGTCCTTCCTGGAAACCGGCTATGTGTCCAATGTCATCCCAGGCTGCTGGTGAGTTTTCTGGACAAGACCATCTCTCTACCAGGTTGTTGCCTCCAATTGTATGTTTTTAGTTTCCTGGGGACTACTGAATGTTTCCTCCTCACAGGGATGTCCTTGGCTGATACTTGGCAATATGCAGACCATTACATTATGTAACTCTGATGAGCCCCAGACTTGCCTTCTGTTGGCAACTGTTTCTTGGACATGTGGATTTGTGGCTCCTTCCTTCACAGTAATTACGACATCTATGCTGGCATTTTGCAGCCTGGGTGACATTAACCATTTATTTTGTGATTTAACAACAGTATTGAGACTTTTCTGTGAAGACACCAGCATCATTAAGGTAACATCCCTGATCTTAGCATCCTGACCATCGCATCCTATGTCTATGTCATCCTGACCATCCTGAGAATCCCATCCATTGCTGGGAGCAAAAAAGCCTTTTCCACCTGTTCCTCTCACCTCATTGTTGTCTCAACGTTCTATGGGGCTCTGATCATCATGTATGTGGCGCCGTCAGGAAATCAGTCTCTGGATTTCAACAAAATGTTCTCCCTGCGCTACATGGTGGTGACTCCCATGTTCAACCCCATTGTCTACAGCCTGAGGAACAAAGACATGAAAGATGCCTTGGGCAGGGTCATCCATAAAATCTGGCTTCCTCCCAAGATGTAGCCAAGTTCTGTGCCCACATTTTCAAGTGAAATCACAAGGGAAGAAAATTCAGCAGAGAAATTCTAATGTTAAACACTCCAACAATGTCTTAGATTCTTGAATGCAAATGATTCTGCTTCACCAATGGTTTTCTAACTCAAAGGTTACCTGAAAAGTGTGCAAGTGTGTGGATGTGGGTGGGTATGAAAGAAAAAGAGAGAAGATGAGATATTGTTTTTGTTCATTTTTCTTCTTCTATGATGTAGCTATCCGAAATTCACATCTAGAGTAACCTGGATGTTTCTATGTATGTAGAGAGACCCAGGAGGTTTATGATTTCAGAGACACCAAGGAATTACAATCTGGTTAACTGAGAATGCCTGGCACACACACAGCCCCAGTAAAATGACCTCCAGGAGAAATTCTCCAGGCTGCTGTGTTGGGTCCCAATCCACTGGACCTGTCTGCTTTACATTTCCTGAAATCTGAGCAGGCTGCGGAACTGTCTCTACCAGGGCACCTCAAGCGCATGTCCTGGGCACAGGAGGTCTGTCTGTTACCGCTTTACTGAAATGGGACTCCATATCCCAACTGTCCTGGAGCCCCACCACGAGCAAAATTAACCCCTTCAGCCTCCCCTGTAGCCTAAGTACATCCTCTTCCAGAACTCCCCATGGTGTAGACACCCTGGGTTTATGGTTTAACTCTGCTGGGAAGTGTCTTGATGATCATATCTAATGATATAAATTTGGACAGACCACAATGATACTTATTCTGCCCTGGCTGCCTTTTGGCCTAGCCTTTGTTTGGCATGGGTGTTGCTTTTCTGACTTGTTTTTATGTAAACTTGCTTAAATGACATTTTTAAGCCACTGTGTAGGACAAGGGTGATATGTACGGAGAAGAGAATATAGAGAAGAGGCCAGAACAAACTGCCAAAACTTGCTTAAGGAAAAATAGGAAAACCCCTATATAGAGTAAAGGGTAAAACGGCCTGGCCAAGTACACTTGACTGGTGCACGAATAGGGGTAATAAGCCAATTAGAAAAGAGAAATAACAACACGAAAATAGTGTGGACAGCAAACATTATGCAACCTGAAGCTTACACATGCATATTGTATGAGTTGGACAAGACACATAATACTTCATGTTGATTGGATAAGAGCTAATGAATATGTAAATTAGAAGATGTGACTTCTGGAAAGTTACAAGGCAGGCGGTGGTAGAACCTCTTATGGGTCTGGGTGTTTCCCCGCAATGTCATGGATGGGTATCTCTGTATTAGAATGTATGGGGGTTGGGAGAGTATGGTAGGAGAATGTCATTGTGACCCACCCAGGAGAAGGTGATTGAGGCCCATCTTTTTCTGTACATCTGTTGTTTCTCACTCTAACCGGAACTGTCATCACAAGGTGTGCTTTTGGTTCAAATAAAGATCTGAATTAAGAAACCTGAGCATCTCAGACCAAGAGTGTGTCATTCTCACACAACAGCTCTTATGAAGCATGTGACAGTGACACAAACAGACACACAGACAGGCTCTGCATAGAGTTCTTGAACTCTTTACGTATCACAGAAAATATGTAGATCTAGGCAGAAATAATAAACACACCAACATGCATTTCCTTGCCTCAGTTTCCTCATTATTCTGGAGCATTCTCTAGGCTTATGACAGAGTCCTTTGGGGTGTCCTGGATCCACCCCACGTCCACATGTCTTCGTCTCTGAATCATAGAGTCTCTCTCTCTCTATGTCAGCTAGCTTCCTTCTCCGTCAGTGGTCCCACAGTTAAACAAGAACCCCCTGCTACGGAAGCAAGCCTGTCTCATCCTCTCTCCTTCCCAACGTTTTCTGGGTGTCTCCTTTTGACTCACTGAGCCTCTGCTGTTTCTAAAGGCTAATACCACTGCCTGGGTTTCTTTGTTCTGCTGCGGGGCATTTTCCACTCTCCAGAGCTCTGCAGAGAAACTTGGGCCATGTCTATATGTACCGCACTGCACCAGTACAGCTGCCTCACTGCAGGGCACATGTGGTGAAGATGCTCTGTGCCAACCAGAGAGAGCTCTCTGGTCAGCATAAAACCCCCTCCGTGAGCAGCATAAGCTGTGTCGGCAGGAGAAGCTCTCCCTCTGACATAGTGCTGTGCAGACAAGTGCTTATGTTGGTGTAACTTATGTCGCTTGGGGGATGGGTGAAATATTCACACCCCTGAGCAACATAAGTTTTGCCAACATAGGATGTAGTGTAGACAGCCTTGGCTGAACTGGTTTCCCTAGGCTTCAGCCATCCCATTTTCCTAATGTGGTTCCATCTGAATAGGTGAGCATTACGATCTAATGACCCACCCTTGTACCCTGTCCGGAAAGGATGTGCTACAATCCTGAGAGCAGATGGTTGACTCCACAGCCACTGAGGCATTCCATGATTCAAGAATTTCATAACATCCACCAGAATTCATAAGCTGTACATAGACAGATTCCCTAAATTGTGCTATTTTCAGAATTATATTTTGAAGACTTAAGAGGGACATGAGCTTTGTGTGATTCTGGTCGTCTTTACAAGGGTAAATTTCCCCCAGCTCCAAGTATTCACTACATTGTTAGATCACAATCACCTCTTGTTTTCATTGAATGAAGCAGCATTAGCAATGTCTACTAGAAGAGCTGGAGTGCTGTATCCATTCTGCGCGCCAGATTGGACACATTGGAGCAAGTCTAGTGGAGAGCAACAAAAGTGATCAAAGGTTTAGAAAACCTGACCTGTTAGGAAAGGGTAAAACAACTGGGCATGTTTAGTATTGAGAAAAGAAGACTGAGGGGGAACCTGATAATAGTGTACACATATGTTAAAGGTTGTTATAAAGAGGAAGGTGATCAATTGTTCTCAATATACACTGAAAGGAGGACAAGAATGGGCTTAGTCTGCAGCCAGGGAGATATTAGGAAAACCTTTTTAACTCTCAGGGTATTTTGGGATGTATAAGTAGGGGCATTGCCAGCAGATCGAGGGACATGATCATTCCCCTCTATTTGACATTGGTGAGGCCTCATCTGGAGACTGTGTCCAGTTTTGGGCCCCACACTACAAGGATGTGGAAAAATTGGAAAGAGTCCAGCGGAGGGCAACAAAAATTATTAGGGGACTGGAACACATGAGTTATAAGGAGAGGCTGAGGGAACTGGGGATGTTTAGTCTGCGGAAGAGAAGAATGAGGGGGGATTTGATAGCTGCTTTCAACTTCCTGAAGGGGGGTTCCAAAGAGGATGGATCTAGACTGTTCTCAGTGGTAGCTGAAGACAGAACAAGGAGTAATGGTCTCAAGTTGCAGTGGGGGAGGTTTAGGTTGGATATTAGGAAAAACTTTTTCACTTGGGGGGTGGTGAAGCACTGGAATGCGTTACCTAGGGAGGTGGTGGAATCTCCTTCCTTAGAAGTTTTTAAGGTCAGGCTTGACAAAGCCCTGGCTGGGATGATTTAATTGGGGATCGGTCCTGCTTTGAGCAGGGGGTTGGACTAGATGACCTCCTGAGGTCCCTTCCAACCCTGATATTCTATGATTCTATGATTCTAGCTCTGGAACAGGCTCCCAAGGGGGGTTGTGGAATCCCCATCATTGGAGGATTTTAGGAACAGGTTGGGCAAACCTGTCAGGGATGGTCTATGCTTACTTGGTCCGGCCTCAACGCATTGGCTGGACTTGACGACTTCTCGAGGTACCTTCCAGCCCAACATTTCTCTGATTCTATGATCTGGTCTTTTAGACAAATGTGCAACAGAAACACAGAAAATAAATCAAAATGTGCAAAACCTGTTATGACAAAAGTGGGGGCACTCAGTAGTGAACCTTGATCTCTACCCTAAAATATGGTTTATGTACTCGATTTCACACGTCATATTGAAATGCCAGGGGAGGACACAGTTACAGCACATCTTTCCTCACCAGTTGCTAGAGCAATGATTGTAAGCCATTAAGGCTGAATGAGTCTAACTACCAAACAACTGAGCAACCATCTGGGAGCAGCATCTTAGCACATTTGCCTGGCCGGCTGTGAGAAACCGGTCTGAGACAGAAGAAAGAAGATTTCACAGGTCAGGCCTGTAACACAGATCATTGAACGATATTGTACATTAATTGGTGGCCAGAGAGACATAGTGAGGGTGGTTTCTTTTTTAAAAACCTAGCTTTTCTGAAAGACAGACTAGGAGGAGTCATTCTCTGGAAGACAAACTAGGACCAAAAGTTTCTTGGCTTCCTAAGAGAAGGTAAGTTGGTTCTGTTCTATTCCTGTAACTTAAGTGGAAATACCATTGGACTTAGCTTTAGTGAAATGTAAGATTAGAGGAGTCAAAACATGCATGTGGACTGGTTGTTGTTTTGAAATGATTTCATCTAAAGCTTTGTTCTGTTTGCTAGTAACTGAACTTGTTTTCAGAAGGCTGTTTATCACCATATCAGTGGTCATAGGCCCCCAAAGGGAGGAAATACAAGTGTCTAGTTGAACCTATTCAGTAATAAGAGATTGGCATTAGATGAGGGGTTGTACCCAGGTCCTGGTCCAAGAGTAGAAGAATCATAAGATTCCATGGGCAAGATACCAAACACGTGAGCCAGTACACTCGGAGAGACCACACAGTGGTTGGAGGTGCAATTAGCACCGTAACCATGACACCTCTTAATTGTGCCTTTTTGAGCTGCCCACATCTTGGTTTTCCTGCTAGGAAAGACCACATGTTTGTAATCAAGGTGGCTGTTTCATTGCTCCTTAGGTTGGTGCTCATGACAGAAGCTGGTTGAATACTGCAAATACCAACCAGACAACCAAACAAAAACCAGGTAGATACAACATTTAACCAAACTATGGGCTGTGATTCATTGGTGGTCCATGGAACACTTGCTGTTGACATGCCTCAGGTTCCTCTGTAGTGCCACTATCTGGCAGAAAAAAACAGTGGGTGAGTGGGAACATAGGTAGATCCTGGAAAAAAAGTATGGGTGATACTCTTCTGAACTCCACCCACGAAATAAGCTCTGCACATGTGTGTCACCAAGTAGACTGTGGTCACCGGGTAGACTGTACCTAGTGCAATTTGGCTGCTGCTTTGTTTGGATTGCTGTTTGGGTCTGTCGGGCTCCAAGGGTTTGGCTCTTTCTTGAGTTGGGGGGAAGGGAAAGTGGATGAT